GCGGAGGTGTACTCGCCGAGGACTCAGCAAGTGTGGAGGGCGCTGTTGAGTTGGTTGGCCTTCTTCTTTCAGATCTTCTTTCAGATTATAAGAGCCTTAGGTCACTATCCTCTGCTTTCTTTCTCTTCTTCTTCCTCTTCCTCCTCTTCGTCTTCTTCTTCCTTTAAGCCTCTTCCCTCTGTTGAGCTTGTCGAACACGATTCGCCTCCTCCATCCGCTCTTGAAATCACAGCCCTTGATTATTCTACCGCCGATCATCCCATCCAAAAACTCACGGTATTTACTATTCCGTTTTTGTTTTTTTATTTCTTTTTTCGCAGTTTTTCTGTTTGCTGATGTTTAAAGGAAGTGAAAACAAAGTTGTTGGAGTACTAATGGATTAGTTCCTCTCGTGTTTAATATATATAACTGCTGGAGTTGTTGTTTCTCGTTATGTATTTTTTGAAAAAAAATTGTTTCTGACTTTGACTATGATCTGAGCAGGGTCTAAGGAGGGTGAGAAAGTATGTTTATGTGTGTGTAAGGAGGACTTGAATAGGAATACTTGTGGTATAGAAGTATAGCCGAGCGTGTGAATCTATGTTTTGGGGATGAAGATGATTTGCTTTGTCTTTTGTTTGTACTTCGAACTTGGTTTGTTCCTGCAGCTTCGTTTGCTTGTTGTCTTCTTGTTTTTGTACTTTTTTTTTTTTGGTTATTGTTTTATTTTATTTTAGTTTCCTGGTGTCTCGTTTTTGTGTTCGGATTTTGTTTAAACGTGGACAGATGTATGTTCTGGTTTTGGTTTTACAAGGACATTCATATTGTGAAGTGTATTGGGGCGGTCTTGTTGACTTTTCTGGAAGTGGATAATGGTTGGCTTCTATGCTCTCAGGGTTTTGGAAGCATCCAAAACAGAGGACAAAACATTAGAAATGGCTTTCTTACGTTTGGATACATTTAGCACATGATTGTGGAAGCTAGTGCCCTGGGTTAGGTTGTGTACTGATTTCTGTTGCTTGCTTCAGAGTTCTTGTAAGAAATGGTGATGTGTTTTTAAAACTTCTTCATCGATGTTTAATGTGTTGCTACTCTCATTGTGTTGTTTATAGTTTTAATTTCCCGGTCTTTTCATGCACACTTTGCCAAAACTTGCAAATGCCAAATTTGGTGTGCAGTTCATGCTTCTATGAACTTCTCAGTTTGTGGTTGAAGTTAGAGAGGGCCATGTCAAATATAAAGTGCATGATATTTTTTATGTTTAACATTTGAGTGAATCAAATTTCTGAATAGAAAGAAATAACATACAGGTTTGTAACATGTTTACTAGTCAGTAAAGAAGAAAGGGAAAAGTGGTATATGGTGTATTCTTTTTGATGAGCTGTTAGAAGAATACTAATGATTTCATTTTCTATGTTGTTTTCTTCTGTTACTTCCTGTCCTCTGATCTTCTGTTACTCTGTCTCTTCCCAAATATTGTTACTATTTTATTCTTAATTTCCTGTAGCTAGTGTAGATTTGATCTTACATGTGTACTTGTAGGTGGTGCTGGACTTAGATGAAACACTGGTATGTGCATATGAGACATCAAGTTTGCCAGCTGCTTTACGGACTCAAGCAATCGAAGGTGGTTTGAATTGGTTTGAGCTGGAATGTGTATCGATAGACAAGGTAAGCTACTTTGTAATTTGGATCTGATTATTTGGCAATATCTAGAATATCGTTCATTCATTTGGGCATTTTGGATTTTCAAGGAAGGAGAGGGCAAACCAAAAATCAATTATGTTACAGTATTTGAACGCCCTGGGTTGAAGGAATTCTTAAAGAAACTTAGTGAATTTGCTGACTTGGTGCTGTTCACTGCTGGTCTTGAAGGTTTGTCTCAAAATACTTAGCTGCTACCTTTATCCATATTCATCTGGGACTTATATTCAATGTATATGCCTCTGAATTCTCGCAGGCTATGCTAGACCCCTCGTTGACAGAATAGATGAGGAAAATCGATTCAGTCTACGGCTTTATCGGCCCTCAACAATTAGCACGTAAGTGCATGTCTCTTGTTTCTAATTCAGTAGTCTTGTCTCTGAGTTTGAGGGTCAGTCATTGAATCTTGACAAAACTGATTAAACCGACACAGGCACTGATATTTGATGCAAATTTGTTTTACCTTCATATTTGATTGATGCTTTGCTATGTTGGTCTGAATGAAACTTTTCTAAATTTAAATGCAGTTTGCTTTATAGTTAAAAGTATGAAGGTTTCGTGCTGTTATAGAAGAACCGTGCAGCAATTATCTCTTATTTCTAAATTTTTGTTTCAACTAAATGTTTATGTTATTTTTCTATCATCTGTATGTGTGCTACAGAAACACATATATGGATGTTTGTGATCTTCAAATTCTTTAGAGTGCTTAGTCTTGATGAATGATTGTGGTCCATTTTTTTTTTTGTTATTCAGAGAGTGGTTGCGTTAGCCTCCCTCCCTCTCCCCCCAGAAAAAAAAAATATCTGGATGGCTTGAATGTGCTATGGACTTTCTTGTTAAATGTCTTGATTCTTTTGTTGGTTTACAAAACTCATTAGAGATAAATATGGGTGAGATGCGCCAAATTTCTCGTATGTTAAAAATCAATTATGCACCTTGACAAAATTTTCAGAAGCAATTTAATCAAATTTCTTCGCAAATTGAAGTGTATACTTGATTTTTATGAAAGACAAGATATTTAATTCATTTTATCTTCTTCAGCTAGTATGTGTTGAGATGTTTATCCAAATTGGCTTTTAGTTATGTTTTCATTTTTGGTATAGTGGGTGCTGTCACCATAAGCTGAACTCTCCCAAATCCCAACCTATGGTAACCTCACGAGTAATGCATGGGATTAATTTTCCCATGTATCGGTTGTAGACTCTGTTCTGCATGGTCAAGGCCACAGTTGAATTTCAGAGTTGAAGTTTTAAGTTTAGAGTCTGCTGGATGAATTTGTATAAGATTTCTCATAAATGCTGGTTGCTTGCAGGGAATATCGGGAACATGTCAAGGATCTCACCTGCATTTCAAAGGATCTTTGCCGCATTGTAATTGTGGACAATAATCCTTTCAGCTTTGTATTGCAACCAGTAAATGGAATTCCATGCATTCCTTTTTCGGCTGGACAACCACATGACACCCAGGTGAGAGATACGTGCTGTTGAAAATTAAAGCCACCAGTACCAAAATAAATAAAAAAATCACTCATAATGTTTTGATGAATTGCTCACCATTTCCCGCATTTTGATGTGTAACAGCTTCTAGATGTCATTCTCCCCCTTCTCAAGCAACTTTCTGAGCTGAATGATGTAAGACCTTTGCTCTATGAAAAGTTCCACATGCCTGATTGGTTCCAGAAACAAGGGATTCCGGCTTCTAGTTGGACTTTGTAGGATTAAACTAGTTTGTCATTAAGCTCTCCTTTTTTTCCTTTTGCTGAAATTCTTAGTTATTTTTCTGGAAGGGCAGCTGCTGATTGGTTGAAATAGATTCTTTGTATAGCATGAATTTGTTTTTGGATCACTCAAATGTTTCAAATGCTGCTTCTTGAAGTCAAATCAGTTCACCACTTGTGTACGTAGATTGTCAGAATTCTGATTCTTGTTTATAGGCTTGAAGTCTGTTGGAAAGTGTCTTGTTAGTCCATTGTATAATTATTATCAATGATTATCATCGGTTTAAACATTGGTTACGTTGCATAGTTTGTTATGACCAGTGTTGGTGAAGGATGTTAAATAAATCAAAGCTAACTATTTAAAATGACGTTGCTTATTTTCCTTATCTGGGGTCAATTGCTTTAACGAGTGAAAGAAAGGCTTCAGGGAGGTGGAGGTTTCAAGACAGTTGTTCTATTACCGCTAAACTTTTAAGACTGATTATGTGGTCCTGGTCGTTAGCATAATTTATGTCATTTGAGATATTCAACTGATGCAGCTTACATTATTAGTCGCTCACAGTCAGAATGCTATGGCACATTGGCAAGTGTTGGAGAAACTTTTTGATGTTAGGTAGCTATGATTGGCCTCTGAATAAAGAGAACAATTTTAATTCCGCCTCCATATTGCGTGCTAACTTGGAGTTGTTGGCTGTTTTTTCTATTGACTGGTATAATAAATTAAAGTATTTTACCTTGCTTCTTGGTAGTTGGGAGTAAATAGTATGAAGTTGCGTATAAGGATAACTATGGATGTTGTCTACAGTGAGCTCACTATTTAGACAATTAGAACTTCAAATGGATTTATCCAGGTGACTATGTTGGAAACTTATAATACTTAGACAGTTACTGAAATTGATATATTGGATCATTTTTAACCGAGTGAAATGGATGTAGGAAAGGTATACAAATTCATTTTTAGCTCACTTAATACTAATTAAAATTTATTAAAAACTTATAAAATGATAGGTGAAGTTTATTGATTGAGATCTTCACATATCTCTTCTGTTGTTATCAAATGGTGGAAGACAGGAAGTGGCTGAGCGGTGAGAGAGAAGAAGACGGGCAACGAACGGCTGAAGACTACCGAACGCCTGAAGGCAGTAAAGCTACCGAGCGCCTGAAGGCATTTAAGCTACCGAACGGCTGAAGGCTACCAAACGGTAGAAGCACGAAAGCCGATTGGTTGCAGAGTTTTAGAATCTTATTATATAGTTTGTTAATTTTGTTTTATTCTTTCTTTGTATATATACTTTGCTTTCGTTATAACTCGACATACTTTTCACTCGAATTCATTCATAGTTATTCTTTTCTCTAGAGCCCTTTTCTTTTCTCTTTTCTCAAACACTTACATGGTATCAACAGAAAGAAAGTAATTAGGGTTCAAAGTTTGTTCCTTTCTTAATCTCACTTTCTCTTCTCTAATGGCCACCCCGATTTCCAACTCCGATCATCTTTCTAATCCTGCCCACCCTCTGTTTCTTCATCCGATGAGAACCCAACCCTCATTCTTGTTAATCCTCCTCTCTCCAACACCAATTTTCAACAATGGAGGCATGATATGTTTGTCGCTCTTGAAACCAAGAACAAAGACAAATTTGTTCTCGGTACCATTTCTTGTCCTCCCCCTGATGATGTTCTTTATGAAGCCTGGAAAAGATGCAACAAGATGTTGATCTCATGGCTAACGCGTTCCATGACTCTTCCTATCAAACAATCTATAATGTGGATGAATTCTGTGCATGAGATTTGGGTCGATCTTCTCCAACGTTTTTCTCATGGTGATAAGTTTCGCATCGTTGATCTTCAAGAAGAACTTCAATCTTGTAAACAAGGTGATTCTACTATCTCTCAATATTATACTCGTCTTCAAATAATTTGGAAAGAACTTTCTTTGTATAAGACCATTCTTCTCTGCACCTGCAATTCTCCTTGCAATTGTGGTTTATTGACCAAGATTCAACAAGAGCGCAACGATGATTCTGTCATAAAGTTTCTTCGTGGGTTAAACGATGAATTTTCCCAAGTCCGTTCTCAGATTATGCTAATGAAACCTATGCCCGCTCTCCCTAAAACTTTTTCTTTGGTCCTTCAACAAGAACGAGAATTTCATAATTCCTCCTCTCAAATTCCACAAGATTCCATGGCCAATCTCAATTTCCAGGACCCTCAGAACAAGACTTCTAATACTTCCCGTGGTGAGTCATTTGGTGGTCGTGGACGAGGACACACCAGTAAATTTGGTGGTCATGCCAAATACTGTGATCACTGTCAAAGAACAAATCACACCTCTGATAATTGCTGGATCAAATATGGCCTTCCCCAAGCTTATAAACCCATCGTCAAACATAATTATGCTCCCTCCAATCCCTCTGCCAACCTGACTGATGTTGTTTCACACACCTCCAATGACTCCTCTAATGATAAAACCCAAGTTTAGTGCAGTTTTTCTCAGGAACAGTATGAAGCTATTCTTGGCTTGTTGAAACAATCTCAACCTTCTACTCCTATCATGGCCAATGTCAATCAATGCACTCCACAATCTTCAGGTTCTTCTTCTACACCCAATTTTTCTTCTTGGATTATAAATAATGGAGTTACTGATCATATATGTTCTTCAAAATTTCTTTTTAATTCTTTACAGCCTATCACTCCTATTTATATACGTTTACCAAATCAAAGTTTTGTTATTGCTAAATTCTCAGGGACTGTCATTTTAGGCAATTTGGTTTTGCACAATACTCTATTTGTTCCCAATTTCTCTGTTCATCTTACTTCTATTTCTAAACTGTTACATTCCAATAATTGTTTCATTATTTTTCATCAAAACAGTTGTCCCATTGTGCAGATGAACACTTACCAGATGATTAGAGTAGCTAAAAAATATCAAGGACTCTTTTATCTCCTTAGTAATAATATCACCAGTACTTCAGAATTAAATTCCTTTCATTCTGTTTTTAGTAATAGCTCTAGTGATTCTTGTAATTTGTGGCACATGAAACTTGGTCATCCTTCAAATAAAATTTTCCAGACATTAACTTCTCAATATTTGATATTTCTTTTCAATTTATTGATGCTTGTGATGCTTGTGCTTTTACTAAACAAAAACGTCTTCAATTTTCTGCTAGCAAAACTAAATCTCCATGTTTCTTTCACCCCATTCATGTTGATATTTAGGGACTTATTTCTACTACTTCCATTGATGGATATAAATATTTTTTGACCATTGTTGATGATTATAGTCGTTTCACATGGATTCTTCTTTTGAAACACAAATCTGACGTCAAATCTTTACTTCAAAACTTCATTCTTTTAACTGAAAACCAATTTTCTTGTAAACTTAAAATAATAAGATCTGACAATGGAAAATAATTTCTTCTTAATGATTTTTATACTACCAAAGGAATCTTTCATGAAACTACTTGTGTTGCTACTCCTCAACAAAATGGCATTGTTGAAAGGAAGCACCAACACATTCTTAATGTTTGTCGATCTCTTCTTTTCCAATCCAAAGTTCCAAACATTTTTTGGTCTTATGTTATAAAGCTTTCCATTCATATTATTAATAGACTGCCAACCCCTTTTCTTCAAAATAAATCTCCTTATGAAATAGTTTATTCCATCAAACCATATTTTTCAAATATGAAAGTTTTTGGATGCTTATCATACTCCAGCTCTGTCACTGCAGGTCGCACAAAGCTTGATTCCAGAAGTAATAAATGCATTTTTCTTGGATACAAATCTGGAACCAAAGGTTTTGTGCTGTATGATTCACATTCACATTCTACTATTGTTTCACGAAATGTCATTTTTCATGAGCATATTTTTTCCTATCAAACTTTTTTAACTCTACCTTCGTGTCCTACACATGATGATATTTCTGATGTTACTCTTTTTGACTTTCCAAATATGGCACCTGTTTCCACTACCACAAATTACCCAACTAGTAATACTTCTAACCATACTTATGATAGCATCATTCTTCCTACTGTTGGACAAAGAGTTTCTCTTAGAAACAAAAGTAGACCTAAGTATTTAGATCATTACTATTGTGGTAGTACTACTTCTAGCATTCCCTCATCCCATACTACCCCGTATCCTATGCATTTGTTCCTTTCTTATGATTATTGCTCTTCTAACCATGCTTCTTTTTGTCATAATATTTCTGCACAAGTTGAACCATCCTCCTTTAAAGAGGCCAACAAGTTTGAATGTTGGCAGCAGACTATGAATTCTGAACTTTGTGTACTTGAAAGAAACCAAACCTGGACTTTGGTGAATCTCCTCGCGGGTAAGAAACCCATAAGTTGTCGTTGGGTTTATCATATCAAGCATAAAATAGATGGCTCTATTGACATATATAAAGCTCGTTTAGTGGCAAGAGGTTTCACTCAAACTGAAGGCTTGGATTACTATGAAACTTTCTCCCCTGTTGTTAAAATCACCGTTGTTCGTCTTGTGCTTGCTCTTGCTACCATCAACAAATGGTTTCTTCATAAGTTAGATGTTGACAATGCCTTTCTCCATGGTGATTTAACTGAAGATATATACATGAAACCCCCCTTGGTCTTTGTCCTTCTACTCCCGATCTTGCTGCAAGCTTCAAAAGTCTCTTTATGGTTTAAAGCAAGCCAGCAGAAATTGGAATCACAAACTAACATCAGAATTACTCTTTCTCGGGTATACACAAAGTTCTGCTGACCATTCTTTATTTATCAAACATTCTCCCTCTACTATTACCATTATTCTGATATATATTGATGATATCCTTCTATCTGGAAATAACTTGTCTGAAATCACTACTGTCAAAGATCACCTCCACAACAAGTTTCACATTAAAAATCTTGGAGATCTCAAATATTTTCTGGGATTCGAAATTGCTAGATCTCAAGCTGGATTATATATAAATCAGATGAAATATTATCTTGAATTGATTTCTGAAGCTGGTATGTTAGGATGTAAATCTGCTGCTACACTTGCTGATCCTTCTGTTAAACTTTATGCTGATGAAGGTGTCCTTCTCACCGATCCTACTTCTTATTGTCGCCTTATTAGTAGGTTGATCTATCTCACCAATACGCGACCTGACATTGCTTTTGCCGTTCAACAACTTAGCCAGTTTGTTTCTACTCCACACCAACCTCATATGCAACAAGTCATAAGGATTATTAGATATTTAAATAATGCTCCTAGTTCTGGTCTATTATATGTTGTTGATAATTCCTTCCGCATTCATGCCTACTCTGATTCTGATTGTGCCACTTGTGCTACCACTAGAAGATCTATAGTTGGTTTCTGTGTCTTCCTTGGAACTACTCTTATTTCTTGGAAGTCAAAGAAACAAACCATCATTTCCAAATCCTCTTCTGAAGCCGAATATAGGTCCTTATCTTCTCTAACTTGTGAATTGCAATTGCTGCAATATCTTTTAAAAGATCTACATATACCTTGCCTGAATCCTTACTCAGTCTTTTGTGACAACAATTCTGCTATCCATATTGCCAATAATCCCACCTTTCATGAAAGAACCAAACATATAAACATAGACTGTCACATTACTAGACAAAAGCTTCAAGATGGTCTCATCAAGCTTCTTCATGTGTCTTATGCCAATCAAGTTGCTAACGTTTTCACCAAGTCCCTTTATCCCTCTCCTTTTAACACTATTACTTCCAAGCTAAACATGCGTAATATCCATATTCATCTTGAGGGAGGGTGATAGAGATCTTCACAGATCTCTTCTTCTGTTGTTACCGAACGGTGGAAGACAGGAAGTGGTCGAGCGGTGAGGGAGAAGAAGACGGGAAATGAACGACTGAAGACTACCGAACGCCTGAAGACAATAAAGCTATGGAATGACTGAAGGCTACCGAACGGTAGAAGCACGAAAGCCGATCGGTTGTAGAGTTGTAGAATCTTATTATATAGTTTGTTAATTCTGTTTTTATTCTCTCTTTGTATATATACTTTGCTTCCGCTGTAACTCCACACACTTTTCACTTGAATTCATTCACAATTATTCTTTTCTCTGGAACCTTTTTCTTTTCTCTTTTCTCAAACACTTACATTTTTTAAATAAAAATTGAATTTTACAAACTCATAAATATGATTTTCTCCAATAATGTTTTATGTTCACTTTTTTTTAATATGGCATCTTAGGTTTCATTTCATTCAATGTTAAAATAATTCAAACCCAAAAAAAAATTGTGTAATTTGATTTCATTTTCACTTTATTATCAATCACGACACCGATAATTTGTTACTGATAATTTGTTAGTGATTTAAAAAAGTGCCTTTTATGAAAAACAATCTAATAATTATTTTAAAATTTCAAAGCAAGGAGGTTTTTTATCTATCGCATTTTACTCTATATCTTTTTGAATTATATATACATATACATATATATTACTAAGTGCTTTTCTTGAAGCGTGGCTAGTTTGATAAAATGAGATATATTTGTTTGAGTGTGTGCCTCCAAAATATGAGTAGGAACCAGCAAGGCTGCCCAAATGAGTTGGAGTATGGTCATATTAAGAAATAGAAATTATCTGATGATTGAATAGAATCCAACATCATCTTATGTATTTAGGTTGTAAAATATAACATAAAATATAAAACAATTCTTTGCAACCTGCCAGCTTGACCTGACCTTCACAGAATGGAGAACACCTTTTCATTCTCAACTTCACATTCTGTGTCTCATTCTCTTCTTTTGTTCTCTGCTTCTACACCCTTTATTTATTCTCAATGTCTAAATGTCTCTCCTTTTGACTTCATAAAAAAAAGAAAGAAACAAAACTTCCACTCTAATACCTTATTCTTGTAATTGGTATATACATATTATATATGGTATAGTATGTAGGTCAGTCATGAACCGAACCGTCAACAAATCTTTCTATATCACATGAAATGGTCAATTGACCGGTCGGTTAGACTACAAACATAATTAGCGTTAAGAATAATTACATCAACCTTAAGAGAGATTATTACTATTTGAACCGTAATTACGTTAGCACTAATCATAAGTTCATTCCAAAATCTATCAATACATGTTTGATATCTTGGTTACTTTTTACTATCTATTTATTTCTAGAGCATTCAGACAAACATTTATTTTAATATCAGAGTGTTTTCTGTAGGTAACACCCCAACTCGACTGAACAAAAGAGAAACGATTGAAGACAAAACTTTAACCTAAGCTTGAAACTTAGAGACCATTTGAGAAAAGACTTAACATCGACCTTATAAACCGAAATATTTATGAAAACTTTTTTGGAGTATGTTTCGTTATTTTCCTGAAATTAGATGTTTAAGTAGTTACGTAAAAAAGTACTCAATATTAAAAATATACATTAGTTATCTTATACGAAGCCTTAATCTTAGTTTAATGAATGATGTAAAAGTAATCTCTTCTATTAGACTTAATCTTTGTAGGTAATG